TGTTATATCGACAAAAATTAGGCTCACCAAAGATCAAAATCCGTTGTTATGTAGCCACCCAAAATCGAGTGCTTAACTCTACGCCCACGTCAAATAACCCTCAAATAAAGATTTTAACTCTATTAACTCGATTTGGTGCTAATAAATCCAGGATTAGTAAAACGCGCGTTGAAACTCATATGAGGTAAAAATCGTCGACTGGGGACTTTTGTAAAAGGTTTGCGGGGTCATGTCTGGTTTTCTTCCCCCATTTTCCGTCTTTCTCCCCGCGAGCTAACGAGAGGATTACGAAAGCATTAACTCGAGCACGGTGTCTCGAATTCCGAGGTCGGCCATTTTGTCCACTCTCGGCCCGACCGCCCAGAAGTACCCCTTTGTACCCCTAAACGGTCGACCTCTAATTACCGCAATTAATTAGCAGGGGCGTCGAAGACGTTTCGCGCAGGCGATCCGCGGAAACTTAATTAAAACATTAACAAGAACTGCTTGCGGGGTTGTAGGGGCGAGGGGATGGTGTTGAGGTAGGGTCGGGAGGAAACCGCTGGGGGGTGGAAACCGCGACGCCAAGCCGCGCCGACAGGGCAGGGCAGGGCGCTCACCCCTGCGAATATCGACCGTGGCCGACCAGCGCCGGTGTAACAGCCCCCCTCGTTTTCTACCCTTCGCTCTTCCCTATTGGATTGCACCTGAAAAGGAGCGCTGAAAAAGAAAACCCTCGAAGCAAGGGACCGCACGAGGGTCTCGCACTTACTTACGCCTTCCTGACTCGCCGGAGAGAGGGGTGCGATTTTTATTTTTGCCCTTTTCTTCCTGAAATTTTGATAAGTCCTGCAACGTGATTTTCAGCCGTCATGACTGAGCGAGCGTCTCCCGGAAAGGGGAGTGTCCTTTGGGGGGAACCCTAGTAGCATAGAATAATTTCTAAATATTTGTTTGTAATCTTTACTAAATATCTCAAACGACAGATTTTTTAAGATTTCTTGTAGATTTCATTCGAAGATATCTGAAATATTTGTTGAAAATCTCAATGACATAATTAGTTTCAATAATTTATAAACATATATAGACATTATACTTTTTAATTTATGAACATATAATAAAAATACATTTCTTTTACTTCACGACTATTACCGGACACTCCATTTGGTATCAAAAAACACAAGAAATTTATGTAATATTTTCGTGCCACTATTTCATTATGGGAGCAAAACGTGTGATTTTCATTTTAAATATTTTTAAAACGTTTATAATGTATTCGGCAGATAATATTAAAAAAATACTTGTATTAAAATGAAACGAAATGTTTTGTATATCTGGTAGAAAAATATTATGAAAACACATGGAGCTAATATTCTAAAGTAAACGTTTCGCAAATATTTCAAATGTCTGCTAAATATTTACAAAATGTACGGTATTCGTTAAATATATAGAAAATATAGGACAAATATTTTGTGCTACTAGGGAAGTACTTTAAATGGCTGGCGTCTAGGCGGAGGTTCGCTCGTACACTGTTTCGTATTCTGTAGTTTGATGGATTTCATTGGAAATGTAAATTACGTTCATTGACATAAAAAATTCATCGTACCTGAGAAATATTTCGATGATTCAGAAAATAATTATTTGACCCGAATAAACTCAAATAAATTGTCGCAGTTATGAGAAAATGTTGCGTCTTATTTATTTTAGTTTATTTGAGTCTAGTAATTATTGTTTGAATTAACAAAATATCTCTTTGGTACCATTCAAAGAAATATTTCTTTAGTACAATGAAATATTGTTCTTACTGTATTTATGATATTTCTACTTCGTAGTTTGTAAGCGCATGGGTGTAAATATTTATACGACAATATTTATCCGAATAGGTTACTACGCACTTATGGTAGAAATGAGTTAATTGGCCTGATTAATAGGAGATGAAATACGGAAATTAAAGAATTTAGTTCAATTGACGTTCAATGAGGTTTTGATGAGGAATCAAATGTAACGTTTTCATTAAAATTTTTATTTGAGAGCTGATGAGGGAGAACGCTCAGAAATTAACAAGCTTGGATCGATTGATATTCGGTGAGGATTTGATGAGGAATAAAAAATGAGATTATCGATTAAATTTTCATCTGAGGGTTGGCGAGAGATAAAATGTAGAAATGAAGAAATTCATTTCGACCAAGCTAATCATCGAGGTTTCGATAAACAGTCAAATGTAGTTCGTGGTTATTGGAAACGCTGGGAGCCATTTTCGGGTATCTTTGCGTATCAAATATCCAATCGATTAAACCCCAAAATGCGGCGCAGGATTACGTGCGGGCTACGAAACAATTTTCCAGACAATGAAAATGGGAATACGAGCCGCAGGGATTGTGCGTGAAAAATGCATTTCAATTTCTGTCCCGCGGGACATCTTCCGTCAGCGTATCGCGGCTCGTAAACAGAAGCCTGTAAACGAAACCCATACTCGCTCGTAAAATGAAATGGAACAATAAATTGAGTCAAATGTCATCGTGAAATTCAACCATCTATGGAATGACACTAGAGAACACGAACTACGCAGATTGTGATCCACTAGGTGGGACCTAAGTCTTAAACAGCAATTTATAATGATATAACGTACAATTTTCTCTACGAAATTTCACGCTGAAATATGTCATCAGCGCCATCACTGCCTCGCATTAACCCTGCAGAGTATTGTGTGTGTTCACGTGTCAGTATTGTGCTCGACAAACTGACAGATCTGAAATGGAACGATAAATGTAATCAAATATCGTCGAAAATCCAAGCGTCTATGGAATGACGCTAGAGAAGCACGCAGATTATACTCCATTAGATTGCATTCTAAACAGCAATTTATAATAATACAATTAATGTACAATTTTCTTTAAGAAATTCCACGTTGAAATATGTTATCAGCGCCATCACTGCCTCTTATCAAGCCGACACGACATTGTACCCAACTCACGAATCGATATCAGTTTCAAGCTCGACAACATGGCGGAACTGGAAAAGAACCACAAATTCAATCAAATCTCCTCGAAAAATCCAACCATCTCTGGAGTGACATTAGAGAGCACAAATTAAGCAGATTACGCTCCATTGGATTGCACTCTGAACAGCAATTTATAATAATATAATTAATGTACAATTTTCTGTAAGAAATTCCACGTTGAAATATGTTATCAGCGCCATCACTGTCTCGTATCAAGCCGACACGACATTGTACACTACTCACGAAACGACGTCAGTATCGTGCTCGACAAGCTGGCAGAACGCAGGGTAAGCTCGAAATTCGCGAAATACCATCACAGAGGCAAAATATCATCGCACATATCCAGCAAGTCGACGGTTGTACGGGATGCATACAGGTTGCACTTAATTACGGGCGGCTATACGCCATCAACATCGGCATCGACGAGGAGGGCAGCAATAGCGTCGACACCAGCAGCAGGTTGCTCGAGTAACGCGCTATCGAGGGCATCGATCCTCTCCCGGGTCAGCGCGGGGCCTCACCGTAACACTTCTACACACGACCACAGACACACCTATGCAAACCCAGACGAGGGATGCTTCCGGACGATGCATTTCGTCCCAAGGCTCCAACCACAGCGGACCAAGTCCCGTCCTGATTCACTTATGAGCCGAAGGACTCGTTTCTGGAGCAAGGATGGGTTCATAATGTCTTTTTAAATCTTTTCCATATAAATAGAAAGCAGGACGCTTATAGATGGTCATCCTTAAACAAAATATATATATTAAAATATATGAATATTTTTTACCATGTAATTAAAATTATAAAGATACTTTATTAAAAATACTTAGATATTTGCAGTAGTTAGTAGATGAGTAGTTTATACAGAATTATTTTTTACATTGTAGTGCCTTCATTGAAGTCGATTATTTTGTTATTAAAAAGTTTTTAGTTGTTACATCTTTCATTAAGGTTCTAACATTTTTATTATGTAAAATAAACGAGGTGGGTTGGAATAAAAAATAATCCAATCATAGTGCGGTTACTGTTAACCTTTCATGATTTCCGTTGTCTGTCTTCGGATTTTGTAATCGACTAATGATGGAACTTACTTGGTACCACCTTGAAAGTTTTTAAGACAAAATAGAATGATAAAAATCCGTTAATCGGGAGGAAAAGTTATGTGTTAACATACATAAAAGAAATTTAAAAAAATATACGGATCAAATCGAGAACCTCCTTTCTCTTGAAGTCGGTTAAAAAGTAATAACAGATGCAGAACATTTTTTGTTTATGTGGCTCTGTGTTACGAAATGGACGATGACAAAATTCGTACATTGAAAATTCTAAATTTCAAATTTCGACTGGATGTTAAGGGGGTACTTTAGATGTATGGACCCAGGGTCTGTGTCTACGAGCTATGGCGTGCGTGTTTTCGACGAATGAACGCGCTCGTGACCTCACGAAAGAAGCATATCGATCGGCAGATTGTCAGGTGCAAGGGTCTCGGATCGTAATTTGTAGCCAGCGCCGTAACTCGAGACTACGAATGAATCATTCTTCTTTGATAGTAACATCCTTTGGCAAAAAAGTTTCGGAAGGAGAATACCTTCAGGAGGCTATTCACGAAAATCTGGAACGTACACTGATAAAAGTACCCATTTAAATCGATGTACTCAGTCATTGATCATTTTGATGCCAAGATAAATTGTAGTAAAATTACGTGGTCTTTAACATCATATTCGGCATCTGAGATAAAAAGAAAATTACATTACAATATTACATTTAATTCAAGTAAAAATTCCGTAATACGGTAAATATATTAGAAAGTATATAAATACACGTAATTACTTATAGACTTTCTTTATATCACACTTACGTATCTATATAGAAAATTTTTCCTCAGGGCATGGGCGCCTTTATTCGCGCTAATTCCGTAATCCCTTTGAGAGAAATAATACATTTTATGTAAGACCGATAGAGATATAGCACTTAGGGATGAAAGGAGTATGTTGGATAAAGTGAACTCTTGTTCTTGCAGGATGTGGCCTTCATAAATCCCGCCAATGTGGTGTTCGTCTACATGTTGGTGAGGGAGTTGGTGGACGGTGAGGAGGCCTCCGAAAGGGAGTTGCAAGCCACGGTGCTGACGTGCTTGTATCTAAGCTACAGCTACATGGGAAACGAGATCAGCTACCCCCTTAAGCCGTTCCTTGTCGAGGATCGTAAGGACAAGTTCTGGGACCGATGCCTCCTGATCGTCAACCGATTGAGCTCAAAGATGCTGCGCATCAACAGCGAGCCTGGATTCTTCACGGAGATCTTCACCGAGCTGAAGGTGGGTCCTGCAATAATACCCACGATACTTCATTTTGTGAAAACGATATCCTTCCTTAAGTGCCGATTTCCATCGATTTTACATGATAGACAACAATGCGGTTCGGTAACAAATGACGTTCAGCCTTAAAATAGTGACAGTGTTTCGTGATTTTCAACGATTTCCAGCTCACTTCCACATGATTTCGAGCGTTAAAATTCATGATTTCTTGAGTGAATACCCCTTCGATCGGCTCTCAAGGAAGAAAATCGTTTTCATAGATTCTCGAGTGAATAGTTCCTCGCAGTCGATGAGACGACATTGTTCAGGGAATAAACGTCAATTTGCGGGCAGTGAGTGAAAAAAGCACAGGAATGATCAGTGCTCAATATGCAAATGTAAATTATTCCATATGCCATCCAGGCCTGCGGAGCCGGTGAGCGAGGCAGTTTCACTGGAAGCAGCCTGGAGCGGAGCCTCGTCGTCTCCGGAGTCGCGGTTCCCACCAAGGCGGCTTGACGGAGCTACACACACCTGTTGGTGCGCACCGCAAGGCACGGCTGCGACGTCACGACCCTCTGACGACCGGGTCGCCGACGAGCAGCCGTCGCAGCTTGACCCCTCGCCGTCGACCTCGAGCAGCGCGCAGCAGCCACGGCCGCAGCAGGGTAGTCGCGAGTCGGACTCTCGACGCTGCCTCGCGTGCGGCGGATTCGCGCCGGGTAAGGATGTGGCATACACGATCGAGGACCTGGACGCTATCGAGCCGGCCCCAGGGGGCAGCAAGTCCGCGCGCACCTGCAGCTGCGGCCAGGTGGCAGGGAGCAGCAAGCAGCAGCAGCAGCAGCATCGAGGGGACTTGCGGAAACTCCAAACCGTGGACGCAAGTTCTAGATGGGCCCGCAGCAGCTTCCTGTCTCCGGACGACGCACTGTGGGACCTGCGGAAGCAGGTGAGCGAGGGCACGGAGTTCCGCTGGGCGCTGCACACCTCTAGGACCGACATCGACTTGGCGACCAGCGCGAAGGCGAAGTGCAGCTGCCACACGTTGACGCCAGACGACAAGAAGCCGATCGAGCGATCGGACCTACGGAAGCACCACAGTGCGGAGACCGACAAGTGGAGCCTGCGGCCGGACGATGGGCAACCACATGACCTGCGGAAGCACAACAGCACCGACACCCGGATCTCACGGGAGACGGGCTGGAACCTGCAGGTGCCAGAGGCGCTGCCGAATCCGAAGCCGCGGTGCGCCTGCGCGAAGGCCAAGGCCGCGCAGCAGGCGGAGCTCCCGGAGGAGGAGCGCAAGGAGCCAAAGAAGGAGCAGAAAAGAGAGCCGAAGAAGGAGTTGAGGCGGGAGGCGAAGTTCCAGTACTCGCAATCGGTGTCCCCGGACGAACCCCCCGCACTGCCGGTGCCCCAGGTGGCCCAGGTCGAGAAGCCCGAACTGAAGAAGCACGCGAGTGAGGAGCCAAAGTGGACCGAGAAGGCGAAGGACCGGGCCAGGGAGATGGCGCGCTCCACTAGTACCTCCAAGAAGTGGGACTCCAAGGAGCAGCGGGTGTTGAGTCCGGAAGGCGCCCACAAGGCGCGCTCCAGGTGGGCCGTCAAGTCCCACTTCTCCCTCCCGGTAGAGAGGAAGGACTCCAAGTGGTCCAGGAGCAAGGACGAGCCGAAGAGCAAGAGCACGAAGGACCGCCATTTCCGGCAGAAGAGCGTCTCGCCCGAGCCGGATCCGAGACACCTGCTGCGCCTGGACAGCCGGGTCGTCCGGAGACTCATCTCCCCCGAGATCACCATCAGTGGCGACGCCAAATGGGCGCCCTACGAGGGTTACTCCCCGCTGCCGAACATCGGCATCAGGAAGCGCGAGCCAAAGCGCATTAGTGACATCAAGTGGACGCCCTACGACGGATCGCCGACGGAGCCGTCGAGGAGCCTCTCGCCGGACCTGGAGGACCCGGAGTGGTCGTCCCCCGCGGACTACGACCAGGGCGTCACCCCCACGCACCATCCTCCGCCCGAGGCGGCTCCGACCCTTGACAGCGCCGACGAGGACGAGGAGCGACGCTGGCGATTCCTGAACATGATCTCGCCCTTCCCCATCTACCAAGGTGCCTGGAAGGACGAGTCGCCCCCCAAGTCGCCGGCGCCGCCACCGCCGAGGGTGCTCACCCCGGACGACCTCTCGCCGCCGGTGTGGTCGCCGCAGGAGCCTTCGCCCCCGCCACCCGAGAGGGAGCCGACCCCCCCACCTAGGAAGCCCTCGCCGAGGAGGCTGAAGAAGCGCGCCCTCAGCAGGGCCAAACGCGCCTCGCGCAGCCGTGCCGAGAGCGTCTTCGCCCCTGATGAGCGTCCTCCACCTGCTTCTAGGGCCTCTAGCGAAGAGGCCAGGGGACGCCCCAGGCCGGTGCTCCTGAGGTCCATGGCGCTCCTCGAAGTCCCCACCCAGATACCTCCGATCGACCCTACAAAAAGGTCCCTTAGCGAAGAGGTGCCGCGCTATCGCATCAGGGAACGCGCCCCTTACAGGGCGCGCAGCGAGGAGGCCCCACGGCCCCCGAGGTTCGTCGAGGCCAACGAGCTCTGCCAGTACGTCACCACGGTTTAGCATCTGCTCCCCAGGACTCCTACGTAGGGCTCCGCGCGCTGCGGGGGACTCCTGCGAGGGCTCCGCTCGCTGCACGACCCCTCTCTCTTCGCTCACTTCGCAGGCCTACACCAGACGCTGCTCCTTCGCGGCCGTGCTCCAGCGCCCTGGAAGGAACGAAATGCAGGGATCGGCTCCAGGAAGGACTTTGTACGCGCTCGGCGATGGACTAAGAGATAGACGTGTATTTAGCGAAGCGCGAGAACGTCCCGAACCCGCCATTCGGACGTGATCGCAGACCTCGCGATCGGATCCGCCGTACGGTCCCGTCGCGAGCCGCTCTTACGATTTCTAAGATTACAAGTCTGGTGATCGCGTTTCTAGGTATACTTATAAATATATACATATTAGCGAGGGTAAGCGTTCATAGGATTTATGGATAACGTTTAAATGATAACTTAACGACTTTACGATTATACGGTAACGCTGGTAACGGTAGTCGTGGTGTAATGGCGGGGTAGCGTGTAAGTTGCGTCGCGTCGTGTCGACGTATGGATGTATACCGTAAAGGTACGCTAACGTGGGCTCGGGACGTTATGCGGATCCAAGTGCATCGAGATGTGTATTATATCGCCGCCCGGGGCGCGACGAATTTGTTATTCATTTTTATCCGACGCGAGGGCGAGGCCGCGACGTCGGGGCGTCGTCGGCGCCGATTTCTTCTCGGGTTGATCGTATTGTAATTTATTTATGGGGCTGGTCGGGTTTTTATCTGGGCGGCCCCCGTGCCGGCGCGTGCAATATTACTTAGATTAAAGTTTCATTAGTTATATACTCAAGGGAGATACCGGGGAGATGCTTCTTCGTCCAGAAGCGGATTCGCGTCTCTAGGTTGTAACGCGGTCGGTCAGTATTTTTAGATTACGCGGATTACGCGTGCGTCACGTAGAGGTGGTACGAGAACCGTCCCCTTCGGACCCTACCGTACTACAGCGATTGTCGGCCCGTTTACGGCGAGTCTTCGATCTTTACGTTTAGGTGGGTACGCACGCTTCGATAAAACGTGGCGATAAACCTTGGCAAACTTTCCTGGAAAGACAACTTACGCGTGGATGGTAAAGGTACACGAATTCGTGCAGGGGAAATATTCAATGTTTTTTTATCGAGGGATTGGAGGACTGTCTGAACATTGAGGAGATCAAGAGATGAGGTGCGTCTCGGACAAGTTCGTGAGCTTCGAATAACAATGAGCTCCGCGTCTCTTTATTTTATTGGTACGTAAGTTCGTGCCGTTTAAATACTCAACATTTTTTCATACCTTTTTTAAGAGAGGCGTCGATAAAGGATCTTAACATTGAGAAGATCAAGAGACGAGGTTGCGTCTCGGATAAGTTCATGAGCTTCGATTGACAATGAGCATCGCGTCTCTTTATTTTATTGATACCTAGATGGTGGATCGGCACATAAATTCGTGCCGATTAAATACTCAAAATTTGTTCATACTTTGCTTAAGAGAGGTGTTGAAAAGGAGATTTTAACGTTGGGGAGCTCAAGAGATGAACTCGCATCTTGGACAAGTTCATGGACCTCGACTGACAACGAGCACCCTCTCTTTGTTTAACTGACACGCAAATGATGGGTTGACACATAAGTTCGTGCCATTTAAATACTCAAAATTTTGTCATTTTTTTTTTAAGAGAAGAGTAGAAAATTTGCCTTAACATTGGATAACGCAGAAAATGAAGTTGCGTTTCTGACAAGTTCATGAGCCTCGACCGAGCTCTACGTCTCTTTACTCGTCTTACGCGTGGATGATACAAATCGTCAATAGATCGTTGGCGATATTATCACTTACACTCTTCGTCGGAACAAGTTAATTCTCCCGAGGTATTGATCTCCATTAACTACGTTTGCGCAGTTATATCAAAACGCGTGGACGATGACATCCGACAAGATTTTGCTCACGCAAATTTCTCTCGCAACGAAATCTCAACGAGGACATCTGTACTCGGTAGACTTAATAGAAAAAACTCGATTCAACTGTACGAATTACAAATCGCTACGATTCATCGCTACGTGTGTAACCACGTTGACACACCGAGTCTGTGATGGCCGCGACTCCACCCGTTCGCTTTAGATACTCGCTCGATCGTTTGCATGTCCGTTCGTTGATTTGTCCGTTTGGTTTGAGGTTGATCGACGAACACAACCATAAGGATGTCCTGGATGTCTGCCATGCGATCGCCAAGCTCGCCGACCCTGTCGAATTTATAGGGAGATGAAAGTTATTTTCTAAAGATATGCGAATACACACGAAAAGGGGAGAAGGGACGAATCGGCCGAACGAACGGGGAGACATTTCTTCTCCTCTCTCTATCTCTATCGCGCATGCGCGGTCTCATCATGTTTTCTACGTTTTCGCTCTCAACCTGATTTGCCGTGTATCCACATTCCCTAGGTATAAGTGTGGCTAAGGGACGCGCATAAGTTGCATCCGTACAGAGATCGATATTGTCATATTGATATTTATCTTTGGTTGGGACGCGAGTTCGATTCTGATCGACCACGGTCGACAGGGGAGAGTAGCTCGCGATGGAACGCTTTAAGGCCGATTTATCCTATCGGTTCCGATAAAATTGTAACACACGTTTCAATGCAACTGTTCGCACTGTCCGACACCGGCAGAACGCGTAGAACGTGTCGGGTGGTATAAACGGTACCATTAAAACACATGTCAAGGTTGATTCGCATATCCGATACTTATCGCTTCCGATGCCGATCCGACAAAACATTGTTAAGATCTATTCATACTATCCGACACGTACCGGTGTCCATTCGGATAACTTTTGTAACGTGCGTTTCAATGTCTACGGACAGTGTTTACACTATCCGACACCACCTGCGCATTCTGTTGGTTGGTTGGAAAGTTTTGTCGTATCGGCATTTATATTTGTCGGTCCGTATCGGGCAGTATAAATGAACCATAATACGCATTTCAATGGCACTGTTTACGCTGTTCACGGTGCGAAAAGTATGAATTGTGCTGTTAAAAAGCACGTTACAATGTTTCGTCGGATCGACCCCGGTACGTGTCGGAGCCGATACGTGTCGGCCCGCGTAGAACAGTATGAATCAACCTTTACACAGATTCCAATGGCACTGTTCACCCTGTTCGCGGAGCGAATAGTATGAACCCTGTCGTTAAAAAACACATTACATTGTTTTGTCGGGTCGACTCCGGTACGTGTCGGTCCGTATTGAACGATATAAATGAACCTTAATGCGCATTTCAGTGGCACTGTCCACCCTGTTCGCGGTGCGAATAGTATGAACCGTGTCATTAAAAAACCCACTACATTGTTCTGTCGGATCGGCACCGGTACATGTCGGAGCCGATATATATCGGTACGAATCAGACAGTATAAATCAACTGTACACGAGTTTCAATGGTACTGTTCACCCGATACACGATACAGATAATATGAACTGTGTCGTTGAAAAACATTTATATTGTTTTGTCGGATTGGCACCAATACGTGTCGGTCCGTATCGAACGATATAAATGAACCTTAATGCGCATTTTAGTGGAACTGTTCACCCTGTTCGCCGTGCGAATAGTATGAACCGTGTTGTTAAAAAACACATTACATTGTTTTGTCGGATCTGCACCGGTAAGTGTCGGAGTTGATACGTATCGGTGCGAATCAGACTGTACAAATCAACTTTACACGAGTTTCAATGGTACTGTTCACCGTATACACAATACAGGTAATATGAACTGTGTCGTTGAAAAACATTTATATTGTTTTGAATTGTGCTGTTAAAAAACACGTTACAATGTTTCGTCGGATCGACCCCAGTACGTGTCGGCACCGATACGTGTCGGTCCGTATCGAAGAGTATGATTGAACCTTCATGCGCATTTCAGTGCCACTGTTCACCTTGTTCGCGGTGCGAATAGTATGAACTGTGTCGTTAAAAAACACATTACATTGTTTTGTCGGATCTGCACCGGTAAGTGTTGGAGTTGATACGTATCGGTGCGAATCAGTCTGTACAAATCAACTTAAACACGCGTTTCAATGCTACCGTTCACCCTATACACGATACAGATAATATGAACTGTGTCGTTGAAAAACATTTTACATTGTTTTGTCGGATCTGCACCAATACGTGTCGATCCGTATTAAACGGTATGAATGAACCTTAATACGCATTTCAGTGGCACTGTTCACCCTGTTCGCAGTACAGATAATATGAACCGCGCGATTGATAGATATGTTACATTGTTTTGTTGACTCGGCACCGGCATGTGTCGAATGATCGACCTCTAGGAAATTTAGTCGTGTCGGTACCGATACGCGTCGGATAGTATAAATCGACCTTTACCTGGGCACCAGCAGGACCTTTGTCGATCCGCTGGTCGCGAGACTAAACGCCGTTTAGCCTTGTCGCTACCAGTTTTTTCGCAAATGCTCGTCAATGGCGACCTCGAAGTGGTATAGCGTACGAAGGGGTTATTCCTTTCCTAGCCGGTGGTTCTTCGGACCTGGGCTCGAGTCCCGCTATTTATCATACTCTAAATGATATAGGCATCGTCGTAACGACGAGATTAACGAAGGCAACGGAGACACGCCGGCGACAGGTGCTCCGAAAGTGGAAAATCAGTTCTGGATACGTTCTATTTTTACATCGTGAGTACCTTTGGGTCGACCTCGCGTTGGATTACTGGTAAAGTTCAACGAGGCGCACTTCACGGCTAATTTAATATGTTAATTCTTCCTCCGAGCGTCCACGATGGCGGCGAATCCACGGGGAACGATTTTTCACCGACGGGGCACGTCTCCACGGCAGACTGTACATTTGAAGAAAGTTTAACGATCCTCCTGCAGGAGACGTCGAAGGCTAAAAAGTATTCGTATAAGTCGAAGGCGAATAAGATGCTACACAGTACAGTGTATCCGTGCTGCCATTAGCATAACAAAGTCAGCTGAAGCCAAAATAGTTAACGAAGACTATCACTTACCCGACGTATATTATACACGTAATCCCATGTAATTCGTTTGCAATCACGAGAGATGATTTAGCGTCCCCAGGTTGAATTAGGTTCTCATCCGTGT